TACGAGTTGGATGGACCGTGTGCCGATTACTCCAAAAAGTTACCCCCAGGAGATGTTACAAATGCTTCGATTTTGGACATGTGGCAAGGAACTGTCAGAGCTCCAAAGACTGGTCAAAACACTGCTACAAGTGTGGTGGAGAGGACCACCTTGCTAAAGCGTGTCAAGGTGCCCCTCACTGCCTACTTTGTAGAACTGACATAAATATTGACGCTAACCATATTACGGGAGGACCTAAATGTCCCCACTACTTGACTGCCCGCCGGAGGATACTAAATAAAAAAAGATGAAAGTTTTACAGCTGAACTTAAACCACTGTGAAGCGGCACAGGATCTGTTAAAGCAGACTGTACGCGAATTAAAAATAGATCTAGCTATAATGAGCGAACATTATAGTACACTAGACAATCACTGCTGGGCTACCAGCAAGTGCAACAAGGCATCGATATGGACGTGTGATAAATTCCCACTAGAGAAGGTCTTCGACGGAGGGGAAGCATACGTAAAAAGTACAGTGAATGGAATAACGTTTTTCAGCTGTTATTTACCCCCCAGTCTATCAATCGAAGAATACAAACAAAGACTGGACAATATTGTTAGCGACGCTAAAAATATGAAGCCGATAGTGATTACCGGTGACTTCAATGACTGGGCCACTGAATGGGGCTCAACATTGACAAACCCCAGGGGAGAGTGCCTACTAGAAGCATTGGCCACACTGGATGTAGTATTACTGAACTGCGGCCAAAAGGATACATTCACAAGGAACGGTAGAAGCTCTAAGATTGATTTGACATTTATCAGCGATCCACTAGCTAATTCAACTGAGTGACAAGTGTCAGATATCTACACACATAGTGACCACCAAGCTATCATATTCGAAATACATGACCGCTCAGCAAGAACCATTCCTGCGGTAGCCACTCCAAATCCGCTATGGAAGGAGTTAACTTTGGACAAAGAAGCTTTTAAGCTCTCAATGGACGACATCCACCTAACTGGCAGTGCGAATGATAAAGCAATACAACTGATGCGCTGCATAACAAATTCATGTAACGCATCTATGGCAAAGAAAGGCCGGCGGAATAGCAGACAACATGTGTATTGGTGGACTGACCAAATTTCCGAACTGAGAAGAAAATGCAAACACGCGCGACGACTATGTCAAAGAGCAAGGGGTCGCAAAAATTTTATAGCGCACCAAGAAGCCTATAAAACATCGAGAACTGAACTAAAAAAGGCGATATCGAATAGCAAGGCATGATGCTTCAAGGAAATGTGTGAGGAGGTCGATAATAACCCCTGGGGACTAGGATATAAAGTCGTTATGAAAAAATTATATAGCTACCGTCCACCAGGTACAACAGACGCAGCTAAGCTACAAGCAATAGTTGAAGGTCTCTTCCCGCAGAGAGCTGATATAACCTATACAGTACAAGATAGTGAGCCACAGAATGAAATACCTGAGGTTAGCAGGCAAGAATTGGAAGTAGTATGCAAAGGTTTGAAACTAACCAAAGCACCTGGAGTAGATGGAATACCAAATCTGGCACTAAAGATGGCCACAGAAATCAACGTTGATTCATTCAGGGAAGTGTTCAACGCATGTATAAAGGAGAGAACATTCCCCCAGATATGGAAAATACAAAGGTTGGTGCTTATACCAAAGGGCAATAACGTACAAGATGCATCAGGCTACCGCCCGCTATGTATGATTGATACGGCCGGTAAACTTTTGGAAAAGATAATTAGCCGAAAACTAGAAGAAGCCTTGAATGGCAATGGTTTATCAGATAGACAATTTGGTTTTCGGAAGGCACGCTCCACAATAGAGGCCGTGGAAGCAGTCATAGCCATAGCAAAAGATGCCATTAAAGGAGACCGTTGGCTCGAAGGAGACAAAGAATACTGTGTCATTATTACATTAGACGTTAAAAACGCATTTAACTCAGCGGACTGGGACACTGTTCTAGCAGCACTTCAAGGGAAAGACGTTCCAAAGTACCTAGTAGAATTAATCGTTGACTATTTTAAAGAGAGAGTGCTTTTGTATTACACAGACAGAGGCACAAAGTCATACCAAGTAACAGCAGGGGTACCACAGGGCTCGGTACTGGGTCCAATATTGTGGAACATTATGTATGACGATGTGCTGAGACTTGAGCTCCCAGAAGGCGCAGAAATAATTGGATTTGCTGATGACATCGCGCTGGTGGTTAAAGGGAAACATATAGAAAAGATACAATCAACATGCAACGAGACGGTCGCTATGGTAAGAAGCTGGATCACAAGTGTAGGCCTCAAACTTGCTGATCATAAAACTGAAGTCCTTCTTGTAAGCAGCAGGAAAAAGATTGAGTACATTACAATAACTGTTGGCAATGAGCGAGTCACATCAAAACAAGCAATCAAGTATCTTGGAGTAATGATTGACAATAGACTCACCTTCAAAGAGCATTTACGATATGTTGCTGCAAAATGTGCGAAAACAACGTGTGCACTATCGCGAATAATGCCCAATATAGGTGGACCTAGACAACAGAAGAAACAGTTACTCACAAATGTAGTTAAGTCTATTGCTATATATGCGGCTCCCATATGGGCAGAAGCAATGAATAAAAAGACGTACAGATCAGGAGTAGACGCAGCCTACAGAAGATGCGCTCTCAGAGTTGTTTCCGCATTCCGTACAGTATCTACTGACGCGGCCATGGTTATTGCCGGAATGATGCCATTACAGCAGGAAGCAGAAATTGAAAAGGAAAAGCATGTAGCAAAAAGAATTGGGGTTACAAACTTCAATCAGCTCAATGAAGAAGCATTGAATAAGTGGCAACAGAGTTGGGATATATCCACAAAAGGAAGATGGACGCATAGGCTCATTCCGAAGATAAGTGATTGGACCAACAGAAAGCATGGGCAGGTGAACTACTACCTAACCCAGATGTTAACTGGACACGGCTGCTTCAGAGCATATCTTTTTAAGTTCAAACATGACGAAGACGACACGTGCCCAGCATGTCCATATACAAAAGAAACGGTGGAACATGTGTTCTTTGATTGCCCGAGATATGAGAGCCACCGCAGCTCCTTGGCAAGAGCAACCAGAGAGCAGGTCACACCTGATAACATCATCCAACTGATGTTAAAGTCAACAGAAATCTGGAACCTGGTGTGTATTTTTGCGAAAGAAATCACAGAAGAACAGGGAGCAGCAGAGAGAACTAGAAGAGCAGTAAGAGATGACAGCAATCGCTGAATCACCACCCTCCGAAGTAATGCTTAAAAGTGGTTCCGGAGGGATTTATGGTTAGAAGAGACACGGTGTTAGGATGAGGTTTAGTACGTAGGCGCAAATACCAAGCAAAAGAGTAAGTCTTGGTTGCGAATCGTGCATGCTGGTAGTACGGGCTACCAGTATCTTTTGAAGATTCCACATCCCTTAGCTCGTATAGCTTAAAAAAAAAAAAAAAAAACATACCCCCTGCGGGTTAGGGGTTAGAATATTCCCGCGGTAAGGTATGCCTGTCGTAAGAGGCGACTAAAATCCAGCCAGGCGTCGGAGGGTGTGGCTGAAAAGGTCACAAAATCCCTGAGAAGCCCCTGAGCTGAGCCGAGTAGACGCCGGCTCTAACTAAGCGTCCACCATCCCGGGATGGCATCGAGGGACACGTAAGCGCACAATGTCTGCCTCTAATGTGAGAGCAATTGATGCGCCAACGAGGGAGTTGGAAATGCGCAGCGTCTGTATACCATGTTAGGGACGCCTGCCGCATCACAATCCGCATACGACAGATGATAATGGAGGAAGCCTATAAGAAAAGGCATCAGGATCGATACCAGTAAGATTGTGATTATGGCATACTGGACAACAGCTATCAATTGGACATGATGACATGATAATGGAGAAAGCCTATAAGAAAAGGCATCAGGATCGATACCAGTAAGATTCTGATTATGGTATACTGGAGCAAACGATTGGATATGATGACATGGGCTGGTGGATGAAGTATTCTATTACCAATATGAGCTAGAGTGAAATCTGGTCCAGACGGCTTTCAGGCTAATGCTTTATCTGCCTCCGTCCCGTTAAAACCTGGCAAGCCTTAAAGAACGATCTTGGATCCGTCCTGTTAAGTTGGGGTGTCGGGGCAGTTAAGTCTGAACACATGCGCTCATAAGACTATGTGTCAACCCTCGCATGACTTTCCTGCATTGCAAAGATAATCATGGAACCACAATAAGGGTAACTACACTACGAAATTAAGATAACGGCTTTAAGTTGGGACCCAATTGCAAAGAATATGTCAACCAAAACACCCACACACACTGGCACTACTACTTCAGCCCGCACCGAAAGTGCAAAGGAGTCACTGATAGTGATTGATAGTCCTAGGCAAAACCCCTTCATGAGGGCACTAAGACTGACCCGCTCACCTATGCTATCACATGAGATACAGAGCAACGAGCGATCCCGCTCGTCCCCACCAGAGCTTAATGCTTACACTGCTCCACAAGAGAGAAAAGAAACATTTAGCAAACTCGGAGATAAAATATCCGAACTCAATGAAATGATAGGTGGAGGAAGAAGGTCCATCCACCAAGCTACGCGTGATCTTGTAGCTATAATAACGTCACTCTATAAACAAGTAGCGAGAGAAAATTCAAGACAAAAAAAAGACATCAGAACTAACGATAGATGTACTCAAACTATCCAGCTATAGCAAGCAGCAGGTTCATCCAAGAGATTGAGAGACGATACCGAAAGAAGTAGAAAGACTCCACCAAAGAAGACGAATTCGATAAAATAATGCATCATCTAAGGAACCAAGGAAAGCATTGGCAATCAACCGGGATTCGCAGCTCGGAATGAACGGCAACACCGAAGTGCCTCAGGCACAAGCTGAAGGTAACAAAGAGCACAATGCCTGGGTCCAAAAACAAAAAAGCGTGTAAAGCCGCCTCGACCGGACGTAGTAATTATTAAACCGTCCGAGAAAATGTGTTTTGCGGATATACTCCGGAAAGTAAAAGGATCCCCAGAACTTAAAACAGTTGGTGATGATGTTCACTCCATTAGGAAAACACAGAAAGGTGAACTTCTACTTGAATTCAAAAGATCAACGGAAGCAACAATGGTATATCAAGCTAACATCAAGACTATACTGCCCGAAGAAATTGAGGTCAAAACACTGACAGAAGAAGTCACATTGGAACTCAGATACCTAGACGAAATAACTACAAAGGAGGAAATAATTACAGCATGGAAAGAACAAATAGGAGCAATACAACCATCGGCAATAAAAACAATAAGAAGCGCCCCTGGAGGTACCAGGACGGCTATAATTGTAATACCAAAGAAGCAGGCCGGTAAAGCTGAGGAAGTGGGCAAACTACGAGTTGGATGGACAGTGTGCCGATTACTCCAAAAAGTTACCCCCAGAAGATGTTACAAATTTCGATTTTGGACATGTTGCAAGGAACTGCCAAAGCACTAAAGACTGGTCTAAACATTTCTACAAATGTGGTGGACAGGACCACCTCGCTAAAGCGTGTCAAGAGGCCCCTCACTGTCTTCTCTGTAGAAATGACCAAAATATTGACGCAAACCATACTACGGGAGGACCGAAATGCCCCCACTACCTGTCTGCCCGAAGGAGGATACTAAGTAAAAAAAGATGAAAGTCCTACAGCTGAATTTAAACCACTGTGAAGCTGCACAGGATCTTCTAAAGCAGACTGTACGCGAATTAAAAATAGATCTTGCTATAATGAGCGAACATTATAGTACACTAGACAAACATTGTTGGGCTACTAGCAAATGCAACAAGGCATCGATATGGACGTGTGGTAAATTTCCACTAGAACAGGTTTGCGACAGAGGGGAAGCATACATAAAAAGTACAGTGAACGGAATAACGTTTTTCAGCTGTTATCTACCCCCCAGCCTATCAATCGAAGAATTCAAACAGCGACTGGACGATATTGTTAAAGACGCTAAAAGTATAAAGCCGATACTGATTGCCGGCGATTTCAATGCTTGGGCCTTTGAGTGGGGTTCAACATTGACAAACCCCAGAGGTGAGTGCCTACTAGAAGCATTGGCCACCCTGGATGTAGTGTTACTGAACTGTGGTCAAAAGGACACGTTCTCAAGGAACGGTAGGAGCTCTAAGATTGACCTGACATTTATCAGTGATCCACTAGCTAACTCAACAGACTGGCAAGTGTCAGATATCTACACGCATAGTGACCACCAAGCTACTGTCTTCGAAATACATGAACGCTCAACAAGAGCTATTCCTGCGGCAACTACCTCAAATCTCCGATGGAAAGAGTTAACTTTGGACAAAGAAGCCTTTAAGCTCTTAATGGACGACATCCATCTAACTGGCAGTGCGAATGACAAAGCAATAAAACTCATGCGCTGCATAACAAATGCATGTAACGCATCTATGGCAAAGAAAGGCCGGCGGAATGGCAGACAGCATGTATACTGGTGGACCGACCAAATTTCCGAGCTGAGAAGAAAATGCAAACATGCGCGGCGCCTATGTCAAAGAGCAAGGGGTCGTGGAAACTTCATAGCGCACCAGGAAGCCTATAAAATTTCGAGAAATGAATTAAAAAAGGCGATAGCAAATAGTAAGACAAGATGTTACAGGGAGATGTGTGATGAGGTCGAGAATAACCCCTGGGGACTAGGGTACAAGGTGGTTATGAAAAAACTATATAGCTACCGCCCACCAGTTACAATAGACGCAGTTAAGCTACAAGCAATAGTTGAAGGTCTCTTCCCGCAGAGAGCTGAAATAATCTATACAGTACAAGATAGTGAGCCACAGAATGAAATACCTGAGGTAAGCAGACAAGAACTGGAAGCAGTATGCAAAGGGTTAAAATTAAACAAAGCACCCGGAGTAGATGGAATACCAAATCTGGCACTAAAGATAGCCACAGAAGTCAACGCTGATTCATTCAGGAAAGTGTTCGACGCATGTATAAAGGAGAGAACATTCCCCCAGATATGGAAAATACAAAGGTTGGTGCTTATACCAAAGGGCAATAACGCGCAAGATGCATCGGGCTACCGCCCTCTATGTATGATTGACACGACCGGTAAACTCTTAGAAAAGATAATCAGCCGAAGACTTGAGGAAGCCTTGAATGGCAGCGGTCTTTCAGATAGACAATTTGGCTTTCGGAAAGCATACTCTACAATAGACGCAGTGGAAGCAGTCATAGCCATAGCAAAGGATGCCATTAAAGGAATCCGTTGGCTCGAAGGAGATAAAGAATACTGTGCCATTATTACATTAGACGTTAAAAATGCATTTAACTCGGCTGCTTGGGACACTATACTAGCAGCACTTCATGGGAAAAATGTACCAAAGTACCTAGTAGAAATAATCATTGATTATTTTAAAAGAGAGTGCTTTTGTATTACACAGACAGAGGCACAAAGTCATACCAAGTAACGGCAGGGGTCCCGCAGGGCTCGGTACTGGACCCAATACTATGGAATATTATATATGACGAAGTGTTGAGACTTGAGCTCCCAGAAGGCGCAGAAATTATTGGTTTTGCTGATGACATCGCCCTGGTAGTTAGAGGGAAATATATAGAAAATATAGAAACAATATGCAATGATGCGGTGGCTAAGGTAAGGAGTTGGAAGTCCTTCTTGTAAGCAGTAGGAAGAAGATCGAGTTCATTACAATAACAGTTGGCAATGAGCGAGTCACATCAAAACAAGCAATCCAGTACTTTGGAGTAATGATTGACAACAGACTCACCTTCAAAGAGCATCTGCGATATGTTGCTACGAAATGTGCTAAAACAACATGTGCACTATCGCGAATAATGCCCAATATAGGTGGACCTAGGCAACAGAAGAAGCAGTTATTGACAAATGTAGTTAAGTCGATTCCTATATATGCAGCTCCCATATGGGCAGATGCAATGAATAAAAAGACGTACCGATTAGGAGTAGACGCAGCCTACAGAAGATGCGCTCTCAGAGTTGTTTCCGCATTCCGTACAGTATCTACTGACGCGGCCATGGTTATTGCCGGAATGATGCCACTACAGCAGGAAGCAGAAGTTGAAAAGGAAAAACATGCGGCAAAAAGAACTGGGCTTACAGACTACAATCAGCTCAATGAAGAAGCATTGAATAAGTGGCAACGGAGTTAGGATATATCCACGAAAGGAAGATGGACACATAAGCTCATTCCAAAGATAAGTGATTGGACCAACAGAAAGCATGGACAGGTGAACTACTATCTTGCCCAGATGTTAACTGGACACGGCTACTTCAGGGCGTACCTTTTTAAGTTCAAACATGACGAAGACGACACATGCCCAGCATGTGCAAATACAAAAGAAACGGTGGAACATGTGTTCTTTGATTGCCCGAGATATGAGAGCCACCGCAGCTCCTTGGCAAGAGCAACCAGAGAGCAGGTCACACCTAATAACATAATCCAACTGATGTTGAGATCAACAGAAATCTGGAACCTGGTGTGTGTATTTGCGAAAGAAATCATAGAAGGACAGAGAGCAGCAGAGAGATCTAGAAATGCAGTAAGAGATGACAGCAATCGCTGAATCACCACCCTCCGAAGTAATGCTTAAAAGTGGTTCCGGAGGGATTTATGGTTAGAAGAGACACGGTCTTAGGATGAGGTTTAGTACGTAGGCGCAAATGCCAAGCAAAAGAGTAAGTCTTGGTTGCGAATCGTGCATGCTGGTAGTACGGGCTACCAGTATCTTTTGAAGATTCCACATCCCTTAGCTCGTATAGCTTAAAAAAAAACATTTGTGCTGTGCGACTGACTTATAAAAATGTGCACAATCAGATGTGCGAGAAAATTTTATGCTCGCACCGCACTGTGCGACAAAAAATTCTCTCTGCACACGAATGTGTTGCTCATATTATGATTGCACAAATGTGCACAAATGTGCGATTACACAAACGTGCACAATCACCCCTGCGGGATAGGGGTTAGAATATTCCCGCGGTAAGGCATGCCTGTCGTAAGAGGCGACTAAAATCCAGCTAGGCGTCGGAGGGTGTGGCTTAAAAGGTCACAGAAACCCTGAGAAGCCCCTAAGCTGAGCCGAGTAGACGCCGGCTCTAACTAAGCGTCCACCATCCCGGGATGGCATCGAGGGACACGTAAGCGCACAATGTCTGCTTCCAATGTGAGAGCAATTGATGCGCCAACGAGGGAGTCGGAAATGCGCAGCGTCTGTATATCATGTTAGGCACGACTGTCGCATCACAATTCACATACGAGAAATGATAATGGAGGAAGCCTATAAGAAAAGTCATCAGGATCGATACCAGTAAGATTCTGATTACGGCATACTGGACAACAGCAAACGATTGGACATGATGACATGATAATGGAGAAAGCCTATAAGAAAAGGCATCAGGATCGATACCAGTAAGATTCTGATTATGGTATACTGGAGCAAACGATGGGATATGATGACTTGGGCTGGTGGATGATGTATTCTGTTACCAATATGGGCTAGAGTGAAATCTGGTCCAGACGGCTTTCAGGCTAATGCTTCATCTGTCTCCGTCCCGTTAAAACCTGGCAAGCCTTAAAGAACGATCTTGGATTCGTCCTGTTAAGTTGGGGTGTAGGGGCAGTTAAGAATATCTTCTGCTTAGCTCCCGGTTTGGCTCTGAACACATGCGCTCATAAGGCTATGTGTCAACCCTCGCATGACCTCCCTGCATTGCAAAGATAATCATGGAACCACAATAAGGGTAACTACACAACGAAACCAAGATAACGGCTTTAAGTTGGGACCCAATTGCAAAGAAAAATGTTCACAACCACAAAAACCACAAAAACACCAATACACTCTGGCGTTAATACTCCAGCCGGCACCGAAAGTGCAAAGGAGTCACGGATAGTCAGTCCCAGCCAAAACCCCTTCATGAGGGCGCCGAGACTAACACACTCACCTGTGCTATCACAAGAGAGGCAAAATAACGAGAGAGCTCGCTCATCCCCTCCGGAGCTTAATGGGAACAGTGTTCCAAAAGTGAAAAGGGAAGCGTTCATTAAATTCGGGGACAAAATATCCGAGCTAAATGAGATGATGGGTGGAGGAAGAAGGTCCATCCACCAAGCAATGCGTGATCTTGTTGCATTGATATCATCGCTCTATAAAAGAACTGCCGAAGAGACACCAAATAAAACTATCACTGCTAAAACGAACGATAGAGGTACCCAAACAATTCAGCCGCAGCAAACACCAGTTATATCCAAACGGTTAAGAGAAGAAATCGAAAAAAGTAGGAAGACACCGCCTAAGAAGACGAAAACAAATCGACCCGTGGGGGCAAATAATACTAAGTCTAAGGAGCCAAGGAAAGCATTGGAAAGCAACTTAGATACGGTGGCCGGGACGAACGGCAACGCTGATGTACCTCAAGCACCAATTGAAGACAACAACAAACGACACGCTTGGGTTTTACAAACAAAAAAACGCGTGAAACCACCTCGACCGGATGTAGTGATTATTAAACCGTCTGAGAAACTTTCCTTTGCGGACATACTCCGGAAAGTAAAAGGAGCTCCAGAGCTTAAAGCAGTCGGTAATGATGTTCACTCTATCAGGAAAACACAAAAAGGGGAACTTCTGCTTGAATTCAAAAGATCAGCAGAAACAATAACAAGTGTCCACCAAGACCACATCAAAAGTATACTACCTGAGGAAATAGAGGTCAAAACGCTAACGGAGGAAGCTACCTTTGAACTATGATACCTGGACGAAATAACCACAGAAGAGGAAATAATTGATGCATGGAAAAACCAAATAGGCGAAATACATCCCTCGGCGATCAAAACAATAAGAAATGCCACTGGAGGTACCAGAACGGCTATAATTGTAATACCAAAGAAGCAGGCCGGTAAAGCTGAGGAGGTGGGCAAACTACGAGTTGGATGGACCGTGTGCCGATTACTCCAAAAAGTTACCCCCAGGAGATGTTACAAATGCTTCGATTTTGGACATGTGGCAAGGAACTGTCAGAGCTCCAAAGACTGGTCAAAACACTGCTACAAGTGTGGTGGAGAGGACCACCTTGCTAAAGCGTGTCAAGGTGCCCCTCACTGCCTACTTTGTAGAACTGACACAAATATTGACGCTAACCATATTACGGGAGGACCTAAATGTCCCCACTACTTGACTGCCCGCCGGAGGATACTAAATAAAAAAAGATGAAAGTTTTACAGCTGAACTTAAACCACTGTGAAGCGGCACAGGATCTGTTAAAGCAGACTGTACGCGAATTAAAAATAGATCTAGCTATAATGAGCGAACATTATAGTACACTAGACAATCACTGCTGGGCTACCAGCAAGTGCAACAATGCATCGATATGGACGTGTGGTAAATTCCCACTAGA